GCGGCGCCGCCCGGCGGGCCCCCAGCCTCCATCCCCAAGCTGAAGCTGACGCGGCCCCTGCCTCCCGGCTCCAACCCGCCGCCCCCCAAGATCCGCCTGAAGCCCCACCACCTGGGGGGCGGCGCGCACGAGCCCCTGTACCGGGCGGAGCTGGTGGAGTCGCTGAACGGCTGTCGCCGGGGCACCCGGGCCGGCGCGCCCACCCTGTCTGCCCACAGCGCTGCCCACGGGCTGGCCGACTTGTCTTCCGGAAGTTCTGGTGAGGACGATGACGTCGAGAGGTGTCCCCAGGGTAACCAGGGACGTGACGGCTTGGCTTTCCTTGTCAGCTGCCCTAAGAGGGGAGCAGATTGCACCAGCGAGTCAGTCTGCAGCAGCGACAGCCTGGATGAGTCCAAATCGTCCAGCTCGGAGGTGACGTCCCCAGACACGGGGGACCTCTCATCCGGTGATGGTGCCTCGGTGCCTTCCTCGTCCAGGGACGCTCGCCAGACAGTCCCGCCCCTCACGGTCAGGCTGCACACGCAGAGCGTCTCTAAGTGCGTTACTGAAGACGGACGGACCGTGGCCGTGGGGGACATCGTGTGGGGTAAGATCCATGGCTTCCCCTGGTGGCCGGCACGTGTCCTTGACATCAGCCTCGGCCAGAAGGAGGATGGAGAGCCGTCTTGGCAAGAAGCGAAAGTCTCGTGGTTTGGCTCTCCAACTACGTCGTTCTTGTCTCTTTCAAAACTGTCCCCTTTCTCTGAATTTTTCAAACTGAGATTTAACCGTAAGAAGAAGGGGATGTACCGGAAAGCTATAACGGAGGCGGCACACGCCGCACGACACGTGGCCCCAGAAATAAGGGAGCTCTTAACCCAGTTCGAAACGTAACTTTGGTTCCCTGATCAGGTGAGTGTCCCAGCGGGATGGCTTCCTCCCCGAGCCGTCCTGAGCTGTCCTGAGCTGCGTCCATGTCCAGACTGCCCCCTGCTCCAGCCCGAGGCCCAGGGGCGCGTGGGTTGGGGGGTGCAGGCCAGCCCTCAGCTCGGGCACGCAGGGCTCCAGCCATCACCAGCCCTCAGCTCGGGCACGCAGGGCACCAACCATCGCCAGCCCTCAGCTCGGGCATGCAGGGCTCCAGCCATCCAGCTCGCTGCTCCGAAGGGGCCGTCTGGAAAAGGGTCATCCTCATCGGTGATGTCACGCGAGCTTTGCAATTTACACAAGAGGCGCGTTAGAAGTAGGCCCGTTGTCAAAACACGGAGCTAGCGTGTGCTTTGCAGCCATTTTGCAAAGGAAGTGACGTGAAAGGCTTTATTGCGTTTTTGGAGAGAGGGCTACGTGCTGACAGACCCTCAGGAGGGCAGCGTCCAGGGTGGGGCCTTGTCTTCTGCAACTCTGGGGAGTGGAACCTTCCCCTGTCCCACCACCCCTGCTCACTGGTGTGCCACCCAGGATCTTGACTGGCAAGAGGGGAGGCCCAGGTGGGCTTCCTGTCGCCAGATAAAGGCCCTCACCTCAGCCCCCCAGGGCTCTGCCCCTTCCTCTCAGCACCCCAATTCTTCCTCCCAGTGCCGGTGTGGACTCTGCACTCGGCTGGCGCAGCGGGTCCTGGACTGGCTACCTGCGGTGGCCAGGTGCTCCAGGTCTGGGAGGTGGCTCTGGAGCCTGTTCTGGGGATGGTGTCTCTCACTCCCTCTCCCCAGGAGAACTTTGTAGAATCTCCAGCCAGGCCTTACGTGGAGCCTCTGTGGCTGGGGCCGTTGCACTGCACGGAGGTGAGGGTGTTGCCAGGTGGGGCTGGGGGGCACCGCCCCATGGTATGTCTGTGGTCTCCTTGTGGGTGTCTGGAATGTGCTGAGGGCTGCAGCCTGCCCTGACCCTGTCGTCGGCCATGGCCTCATCTGATGGCCACCACCCAGCTCTGGGTGCTGGGTGTGTCCAGTGGGGTCATTTGCCCTGGAAGTGACTCTCAGGGAGGACTCCCCTTTCCCGCCTCCCCTGGCTGGTCCTGGGCAGGCTGTGGGGCCCTCTCCTGGGGGGCAGCCTGTGGCTCTCTTTGCTTTTCTTCCTGGCTCCATGGCCTAATGGCCATCCCTGTGGCCACTGACGTTCAGGGGATGATGGCTATATGCAGCGGACAGAAGCAGGGCTTCCCCCCCACCTGCCTGTGACCTTCGTGCCTGGTCACAGTGGTTCTGGGCACAGTGACCACCACACAGCCTCAGCCCAATGACACTGGCGGCTCTGGGGAGGTGCAAGCCCAAGGCCTGGCTGGCACGGAGCCCCAAGCTGGGGGAGAAGGCAGCCTCATAGGCTCCGGGCTGGCTTTGTTTATCCAGAAGTGGAGGAAAAATCTCACCCAACAGGTTTGCCTGCCACCGGGGGGCCTGTGCATACAAACAGGCCACTTCTGGCCCCTGGGGCTGTGCCGTGACAGCCTCGCAGTCCCCAACAGCAGTGCCAAAGCACAAAGTGGTGGCATTTGCCTGCCTGGCTTTTAGGTTTTTATTTCCAAAGATTAAGGACTATGAGCCAAGGTCCACGCTAACTAGGTGCCCCTACATGATCAGAGCTGGCGTCCTTGGGCCTGGGGTCTCCTGCTCTGTGTGGGGTTGGTGGTCTCTGGGTGGACAGATTTGCTTTGAAGTGTCAGCAGCACCCCTCTACCTGCTCTCTGGAGGGGAACTGGGGGACCTGTTTTTACTGGGGAAGAGGGACCTGACCAACCCCATTGGGAAGGTGGGAGGCATTGGGCGTACCCAGGGTCAGTGAGGGGTACCTCCTGGAAGGGGGCTGGCAAGGGGGCCTGGAGCTCGGGCAGTGGACCAGCTGGGGAAGGTGGTCCCCCAGGTCCCTGCTCACTGGCTGCCAAGGATGGCTGTGGCTGTGCCAGCAGCCCCTGGAGCCCATGGCACGTTTCAGAGGTGATCACTGTGGGCATGGTGGGCTCTGCTCCCGTCCAGGGACATCGGGCTCAGCATCTTGTTCCTGAAACACCCTCACCCCTGCTTGTCAGGTGGCTGGAAGCTCAGCTGAGAGGTGAGCTCGGGGTGAGCACTCTGCAGAGCATGAGGCGCCAAGCCGGGCTGGGGCCTGGTGGTAGGGCGTCGGTGAGAGGCGGCGGCTGGCAGGGCAGGAGTGGCAGATGCATGGCCCTCAGCAGGGTCATGTGGTGGCCCCTGTGTGGCGGGCTTGGTGCCCCTCTGGAATCAGGGACAGAAGCTGTGTGACTGTGTCCTAGCCGGTCAGGTGGGGCAGTGACCTCAGCAAGCTGACGTCTCTGAGCCTCAGTTTCTTCATCTGTCATGGGGGTGACAACAGCACTTGCCTCACAGTGAGTGGTGCTCCCGGGAAGTGCTCGCCATGCTGTGGGCAGCTGTGGCAGCTCCAGTGGCTTGTGTATGACCTGCCAGCAGGTGCCTTTGGAGGTGACCACTGCACAGTCTGCTTGGCAGGAGAGACTTTTTGCCTAGGGGTTCCTCCCACACTCACAGGCACCCCTCAGGGAGGAGAGCATGAGGGGGTGACTGTGCTTGGGAGCAGTCCCTGCAGTCCCAGGCACTGGTGTGACAGGGGTCACGTCCTGCCTGGATGGGGCAGGCTCCCTTCTCCTGCCCACTTGCTACCCGGGGGCCCTGCAGGAGCAGACAGGCTAGGCTTTGTGTTACAGACAGGAATGGGACTTCCAGAGAGCACAGGGCCCTGTCCACACCCCACTCTCTCCCAGACCAGCTGTGCCTGAGAGGCGACCAGATGCTTCAGCTAACAGCTAATCGCAGGCCCTCACCCTGGTGGGCTGGGTAGAAGGCCGTGAATCACAGTCCCCGAATTAGTGTGTAATCACACACAGGAGCATGCTGAGGAGGAAGGGAAGAGGGCCTGGAAGCAGAGCTTGCGGCCAGAAACCTGACCTGGACTGGGATCCGGGAAGGCTTCCTGGAGGAGGTGACATGAGCCAAGATCTGAATGGTGAGCTGATCAGGAGCTGATGGGCTGGGCTGGGGGTGCTGTGAGCATGCCAGGCGGAAGGAGTAGCAGGGCCCGTTGCCGGGGCCAGGGTAGGTAGGCGGGAGGCCAAGGCATAGACGCTGGCCTTGTCCGAGGTCAAGGATGCCCTTGGGGAACTGTGAGCAGACAAATGAGGTGATCGTGTTTGTGTTGAAATTACCCCCGCTGGGAGGGCTGGGGTTGTGGCTGGGGGCTGTGCCACCCTAGGGCTCCAGGTCGCTGGTATCAGGGTCCCCGAGGCTCACTGGAGCATCTCGGGGTCCAGCGCTCAGAGCTCGGAGGCACATGGGGGCTGGGGGCCTGGATCTGGCCTTGGAGATGGCCTCGGGGTGAGGACATTGCTGTGGGGAGAGTGCGGGAAGGGGGGACCCCATGGAACAAACCACCACAAACTGGGAGCTAGAAACAACAGACATTCTCGTCTCTGACATCAAAAGTCTGACCCTGAGGTGTGGCAGGCCACACTCGCTCTGCAGGCTGCAGGCGATCCTGCGCCGTGGCCACAGCACCCCTGTCTCTGCCTCTGCGGTCGCAGGGCTCCTCCTCTTCTCCAGTGTGGAGTCCCCCTCTGCCTCTTTTATATGTGCCCGTGATGGCATTCCGGGCCCGCCGGGATAATTCAGGATAATGGACTCACCTCGAAATGCTCCAGGTGACCATATCTGTAGAACGCCGCCATAGGAGAGGTTCCCAGGCTGCCGGGATCGGGACCCGATGTCTTCGGGGTGCCGTTCCCTCACCACATCCTCCCACCCATTCGGCATTCCCCACGGGCTCTTGTTAGACAGAGGCCAGACCAGGCTCAGGGCCGGGCTCAGCTGGGTAGCAGGTGGACATCAGCCCACGGCACCGGCGGCCGCAACGAGTTCTGCAGCAGCACCTGCCTTGGGCCAGGGTAGGGGATGCTCATGGGACCCGAGCCTGTTGGTTTGTGCCGTGATGGAGAGACCCATTGTTCCAGAAGGATCTGCTGTGGGGACTGGAAGGCCGTGTGTGGGCAGTCGGTCCTGGGAGCACTACGGTCCACGTCCAGCATTCAGCTTCACGCTGTTGATTTCTCCTGGGAAAGTACAGGTGTCAGTCAGGAAACCGTTCAGTGCTGCAGGTGACGGCGTGTTAGCCGGACAGGGACTTGGTGTACATGTGGCACTCACTGGCGCTCCGGGATGCAATCATCCCAGTGTGTCGCCGGGTTTCGGCTTTGCTTGCTTCTGTTTTCCTTTAAACAGTTCCCTCGAGCCGGGCACATGCCCTGAGCCAGCTTTCCTCTCTCTTCCGACTCTAAGTACAAGCAGCCGCCGCTGCTGGGGCCCATCTTTTCATCTGGCTTCCCGCGCTGCTTTCAGGGACACCGGTCGGGCACATGCCCTGAGCCAGCTTTCCTCTCTCTTCCGACTCTAAGTACAAGCGGCCGCCGCTGCTGGGGCCCATCTTTTCATCTGGCTTCCCGCGCTGCTTTCAGGGACACCGGTCTTCTGTGAAGGCTGCAATTATTTTGTTCCAGAAGGAAACTCAAGCCTATAATTCTGAGCCTGCTGCGGGGGCTCAGGCCTGTCCCACCTCCTGGCCCCCTCAGCCCGTCCCCGCTGCCTCCTCTGGGACAGCGACTTGAGCTTCGAGGTGGGTGCCCATGGCAGGGGCAGGGCGTGCAGGGGTAGGGGCGCCTGGGGAGTGGGGCCTTCTCCCAGCAGGGTGGGGAGGGCTGGGGATGCCCCCGCCTGGCTGTGCCTCGAGGCCAGTGCTGCCCCTGCCTCCAGGGACGCCTAATGTCATGGGGGTGTGCTCCACCACCAGCTCCAGATGCTCGCTCCTGACCCCACCGGGCATCGGCACCCATGGACCGGGCCCCTGACCCAGAGTCAGAGGGTCCGAGAGCAGATGGGCAGGGCGCCGACCGTGGGCCCCAGGCTTGCCTCCTCAGCAGGACCCCTCCTCAGGGCCATGTGGCTCCTGCCCTTTGGGAGGCGGCCCTCTTGTGGCAACGCCAGGGTCATCAGTGGTTTTGGGGTGCATGGGTCTCATCTGTTCCCTATCAAGTTCACCCAGAGCTTTCTGTGATTTTGTCTGTCACTCACTGCTTGATAAGGGAGTGTAGAGGACTGAGCACTGTTCTTCCAGAGATCCTCTCTCACCAGCCTTCAGTGTCTGCAATGTGACTTGAGGTCACCCTCCCCGTGGGCTCGGGTTATCCCAGAATGGGGGCCATGCCCGCGCTGGCCTAGATCCTTCCAGAGCAACCCGCGATTCTATCCTGAGTGCACGCATGTCTCTGTGTCTCATGAAAACTCGTGTGTTTGTGAGCACAGTTTCAATCCCGCAAAGGTGATTCTTTTGTTGCTCACCTGGTCCCATCTTCAGGCAGTTGCTCAAGTGGATTCTGAGCTTTTGACGCGGCCTGGCTTCCTGTGGCACACGTTACTCTGGGCTCACTTTATACATTTTCTAGCCCTGTCCTGGGGTCAGCTCCTTCCCAGGGAGCCCTGGTTCGCCCTGGAGGGACATGGCCTGGGGCTGGGGTGCTCCTGGGTTTGCTGTTGTTTCTAAGATGTTTCTTAGTGTTTTTAGTGGACAGAGCTAGGAATCACCTTTTCTCTTATGACAAAAATCTTGGCTTTTAATTATATTAACATAATTATTAATTTTATATATGTAAAAGTTAACACGTATAATATCAAATATTTAACACATATATAGCAAATATTTAATATACATAAAATATGTCCTATATTACTTTTAATAACATATATAACACTATTACATTCTAATATAATATAATATAATATAGTAGTGTCAGTAGTTTCAGCAGGGAAATCTTCCTTTGTCCCCGGGATGTGGCCCTTCAGGGTACATGTGAAATTCCCGTGTTTCACAGTCACTGAGATGCTTCTCTCTGTGGTTAACTCGTGACCTCAGGACATTAGGCTTGTTTGTTTCATTTTGCTTCCCACCTTTAGAGGTTCCCAGGTTTTTTATATTATTTATTTATTTATTTATTTATTTATTTATTTATTTATTTATTTATTTATTTATTTATTTATTTATTTATTTATTTATTTATTTATTTATTTATTTATTTATTTATTTATTTATTTATTTATTTATTTATTTATTTATTTATTTATTTATTTATTTATTTATTTATTTATTTATTTATTTATTTATTTATTTATTTATTTATTTATTTATTTATTTATTTATTTATTTATTTATTTATTTATTTATTTATTTATTTATTTATTTATTTATTTATTTATTTATTTATTTATTTATTTATTTATTTATTTATTTATTTATTTATTTATTTATTTATTTATTTATTTATTTATTTATTTATTTATTTATTTATTTATTTATTTATTTATTGTCCTTTTTGAGACCGGCCGCACCGTGCTCAGCCAGTGAGCGCTGTGAGTGCACCGGTCATCCCTATATAGGATCCGAACCCACGGCGGGCGCTGCTGTGCTCCCAGCACCGCACAGTGCGCCATGGGCTCAGGTTTTTTAAAAGCTAATTGTGCTTTGTAATTCTACGAGCATCTCCCTGGCTCCGGTCTGGCTCCCCTTGTGGTCTCCCCTGCTGACCTTCTCTGCTGCATGTCTGCGCTGTCAGGTGGCATGTCCTGTGTCTCATCATAAGCAGACACGTGAGTGTCCCAGCCCTGTGTCTCGCTGTTCGTCTGATCCCATGGAGCTGGATCGTGGCTGTCCACAGAGACCGGCTCCTCCTCACAGTGCTCAGAGCTGTGGACACACCCAGAGCCCTTGGAGGACGTGGGCTTGTTCCTGTCTTTTCTGTGACAGGCGTCATCGGAAGGTGTGAGCTACCCCTTTCTTGGCTATGGAGAAGGCATGATCAGGGCAGGGCATTGCCCATGACCTGCAGCCCCAGTGACAGCGGGAAGGAAAGCACTGGGTGGGTCTGAGACCCTGACCCTGGGTCCAGGTGAAGCCAAGGGCTCCAGGGCAGGTAGGGCTCTGGGGCAGGCAGGGCTCTGGGGCAGGCAAGGCTCTGGGCCCCTAGGTTTCTAAGTGCACCTGGTGTCCTGCAGGTCTCAGCAACCTGGAGCAGCCGAGCTGGGTGGGCATGGGCCTTGTGGAGGCCGGGCCAGCCGGCTTCGTCGACAGGCAGGCAGGACGGACGCTGAGTAGCAGCCAGCCCTGCGCAGGTCACTTGAATCAGTGTTTCTACTGCCGGGAGAGGGAAGGCTTCTGTGAAGGCCACTGTTGTGCAGGGCGGGAGGGGCCTGGCCTGGGCGTCCGCTCTCAAGGCCTGTTGTGCATTTTGCTAAATGAGAATGGGCTGACGGATGCCTGAAGACATTTCCGAAGGTCGTGGTGGTGTTGATGGAGGGGGCGGGAGGGGCCTGGCCTGGGCGTCCGCTCTCAAGGCCTGTTGTGCATTTTGCTAATGAGAATGGGCTGACGGATGCCTGAAGACATTTCCGAAGGTCGTGGTGGTGTTGATGGAGAGGACTTGGACAGTTCTAATTATCTCCTGGGCTATGTGTTTCTTTCAGTGAAGCGTGCTTGCCTCTGGTCTGAGCCCTTCATGCCCTAAAACACTCACTCGGAAGGCGGCACGTGCAGTTCTCGGTGTGGCTGCTGCCCTGCCTGTGCTGGCTGCACCTGTCATGGCTTGTGCAGAACCCCCCAGATGACCCCCTCCTGCCCAGACCTCACTTGTGGCCCCTGGTGACTTGTGCAGGACTGAGAGGGACGCCCTGGCAGTCAAGGGATGCGGAGATGGGGCTGCCTGGGATTCTGGGACAGGACACCCTGCCTGGGGTGGATGGTGTGTCCAGCCTGGATGTTTCTCAGCCTGTGGGGTGGGGGTGGACCAGCCTGGGCTGTCACACCTGCCTCCCCTCCTGAGAAGTGGACAATGGCACATGCAGGAGTAGGCTCATGTGACTGGCCCTTATCCTGGCCAACATTTCTCATGGGAGATAGTCCCTCCCACC